CAGGCCATTATCCTCTGATCCCACTGAGGATTACCAAAAGAAACTACACCATCTGCTCAAGAAACTCCCTGAAAAAGCACAGGAACAGATCTGTGCAGACACATGCCTAGATGCCCGACCTGGGGTATTCTATCTGCTACCCAAGATTCATATACCTGGAAATCCTGGACATCCCATCATCTCAGGCATTAGCACCCTGACAACAGGATTGTCTGGCTATGTAGACTCCCTCCTCAGTCCCTACGCTACCAGCACTCCCAGCTATCTTTGAGACACCACTGACTTCCTGAGAAAACTACAATCCATTGGTGATCTTCCAGAAAACACCATCCTGGCCACTATGGATGTAGAAGCCCTCTACACCAACATTCCACACAAAGATGGACTACAAGCCGTCAGGAACAGTATCCCCAATAATGTCACGGCAAACCTGGTGGCTGACCTTTGTGACTTTGTCCTCACCCACAACTATTTCACATTTGGGGACAATGTATACCTTCAAATCAGCGGCACTGCTATGGGTATCTGCATGGCCCCACAGTATGCCAACATTTTTATGGCTGACTTAGAGCAACGCTTCCTTAGCTCTCGTCCCTTAACGCCTCCTACTCTACTTGCGCTACATTGATGACATCTTCGTCATCTGGACCCATGGAAAGGAAGCCCTTGAGGAATTCCGCCATTATTTCAACAATTTCCATCCCACCATCAACCTCAGCCTAGACCAATCCACACAAGCGGTCCATTTCCTGGACACTACTGTGCTAATAAGCGATGGTCACATAAACACCACCCTATACCCGAAACCTACTGACCACTATACTTACCTACATGCCTCCAGCTTCCATCCACGAAACACCACACGATCCATTGTCTACAGCCAAGCTCTAAGATACAACCGCATTTGCTCCAACCCCTCAGACAGAGACAAACACCTACAAGATCTCTATCAAGCATTCTTAAAACTACAATACCCACCTGCTGAAGTGAAAAAACAGATTGACAGAGCCAGAAGAGTACCCAGAAGTCACCCACTACAGGACAGGCCCAACAAAGAAAATAACAGAACGCCATTAGCCATCACCTTCAGCCCCCAACTAAAACCTCTCCAGTGCATCATCACAGATTTACAACCTATCCTGAAGGATGATCCCTCACTCTCACAGATCTTGGGAGACAGACCAGTCCTCTCTTACAGACAGCCCCCCAACCTGAAGCAAATACTCTCCAGCAACCACACACCACACAACAAAAATATTAACCCGGGAACCTATCCTTGCAACAAAGCCCGATGCCAACTCTGTCCACATATTTATTCAAGTGACACCATCATAGGACCTAATCACATAAGCCATGCCATCAGAGGCCCATTCACCTGCACATCTACCAATGTGATATATGCCATCATGTGCCAGCAATGCCCCTCTGCCATGCACATTGGCCAAACCAGACAGTCTCTACGCAAAAGAATAAATGGACACAAATCTGACATCAGGAATCATAACATTCAAAAACCGGTAGGAGAACACTTCAACCTCTCTGGCCACTCAGTAACAGACTTAAAGGTGGCAATTTTGCAACAGAAAAGCTTCAAAAACAGACTCCAATGAGAAACTGCTGAGCTTGAATTAATATGCAAACTAGATACCATTAACTTCGGTTTGAATAGAGACTGGGAGTGGCTGGGTCATTACACATATTGAATCTATTTCCCTAAGTTAAGTATCCTCACACCTTCTTATCAACTGTCTAAATGGGCCATCTTGATTATCACTACAAAAGTTTTTTTCTCCTGCTGATAATAGCTCATCTCAACTAATTAGCCTCTCACAGTTTGTATGGCAACTTCCAACTTATCAGTATGTATCTATATATCTTCTTACTATATGTTCCATTCTATGCATCCAATGAAGTGGGCTGTAGCCCACGAAAGCTTATGCTCTAATAAATTTGTTAGTCTCTAAGGTGCCACAAGTACTCTTGTTGTTTTTGCGGATACAGACGAACACGGCTGCTACTCTGAAACAAGTAGAAATACAGGTTTTCTCTAGGAAGGGCCCCAGAAATACAGCAAAAGCTAATAGCTTCATAATTTTTAAAAGGACTTTTTCAGAACCTATCCCAACTTTTCTTTCAGTAAGGTGCTATTACATTTTCTGGACAGCTAGATCAACTATTTATTTTATTATTCCTATCACTAAGGCTTCCACAACTGAGACATCCAGGGTAGCCAGCATGAACTGAAGAGTACATCCAGGATCCTTAAGAAAAGGGGGCCAGTTCTTTCCCTTGCCACAATAGAAATTGGACAGGAGCACGAACATGTTGCAGGTGCTGCTGCAGTAGCTGTTTACAATGGAAGGAGAGTGGCAGAGAGGAAGAGGAGGAGAGGCAGGTGCTGGCAGGCCACCCTGACTGCCTTCCTTACCCTGGCATGGTGAATTCTGGCTCCGCAGAGTTCTATGCTTCAGCTGCACAAGGAGCTGGGATGTGATTGTTGGGGGGTTGGATTGGGAGGATTTGTGTATGGACAGAGGAGATGTACAGAGGTTGGGGAGGTCGTAAGCAGTGCGTGTACATAGTTGGGGGGGCCTTTGTTTTCAACATGTGTTTCAATCATAGCAGTATATCCATGAGTGTGAAAAGACATTCCTCAAGTGTTTGCAGACAGCAGGCCGGCTCTCCCGTGAGCTGTGGGCCCAGCTCCCTACCTCTGCCTGCAGGTACCAGAACAGAAGCCAGAGAGCAACCACCAGCAGCGGGATTCGAAGGGCCAGCTTTGCAAAAGATCCCAGGACCAAATTTTCAAGGTCTCCGCACTCCCAACTGGGGCCAGATTTTCAAAAAAGCTCAGCCCCCAGCAGGCTCCAGGGAGGGCCACAGGAGCTGCTGAGAACTTTTGAAGATTCTGTGGCTGAGCAGCCTGCCCCTTCAGACAGGAAGCACAAAGCGAGCGAGAGAACAAACACCCACCACAGCATCACCTGCACAGAGCCGCCAACTCTCAGCCAAGAGCAGCCCCACTAACATTCCTTGGAGGACGCTTCCCTGGCTGAGTCTGTGGTCTCTGAACCCTGGGGCCCAGCTGTTATGGTGGGCTTTGGAGCTGGTGAATGCCCGATGTGGTTCTCCTGCTCTCTCAATCTGCTAGGAAAGTGCTGCCGTTCTTCTACCAACACCTCCCTCTCCAGACCAACATACATTTTCCTGAATGCGGGTATTCATGAACATCATCCAAATGTCAGAAACTTCAGAGCCAAACATAATCTAAATCCAAATACAAGCCTCTTTGCCCATCCCCAACAGACAACATGTGCATATGGCAGAGCACGTAATGTATGCACACCGCCTGCACAGAAAGCTCCCATGCGACGAGGAGCAAGGTACTGAGCAGCGTGCAGAGCAAGAGGTCAGTGTGCAGGAGGTGGGGCTGAGATGTAATAACATAGGAATACTGCTACTACAGATCTGTGTTCATTCACGAAGCTTGTATGTGACCGAGTCACGGGCAACGTGAACTTTAGGACTATATTGACTAGCAGAGGTAGCAGGAAGGGAACACAAATAGATAAGAAACCTCCAAGTAAACCCTTGCAAGGGGCTTGGGCTGGTGAGCTTGGTTACACAGCTGTTTTGCCCGGGTTTGAAATCCTCTCTCTGCCGGGCAGGCCCGGGGCTGCCCCTCCCCCAGGCCCGCCCGGCCCCCCGTGTTAAGGCCTTCACTGTTTGAAATCCTCTCTCTCGTGCTGCGCTGTTTCCCTGCTGCTAAGGGGAAACAATCATTTGTTTTCAGAAGGCTGTTTGGTCACGCCCTGTGCTACCACCTGCTAAGCAGTCACAGGGCACTGCAGCCCCCAGCCCAGTCTAAGACTAGGAGAGTCATGGGATTCCCTGCAGGGTAGGTGAAGGCACGAGGTCTGACGCCGGGAGTGGGGTGCACTTGGGGAGATAAGAGCTGGGCCATGGGGGCAGCTGGCCCTGAACCATGACAGTCACACACGTAACATAAGGTGTGATTCCATTTACGAGTACATCAGAAAAGGGAAAGCAAACTACAGCAGAAGCAATGTGCAATTTACTGATTCTCCACTCCACCACCCACCACTTTTATGCTGGAAATAGATTGGACAATCCATGGAGTCACAACAGCATAAAACTAGGACAATGGAGAAGAGAATCTGGCTCCAGATCTCGTAAATGGAAGCATGTCCCGGCTAAGATTCTAGAAGGTTCATGTTACAGACATGGAGTTCTGCCCAGGTTTGGAAATCGAATTTATTTTCTGGACAATGGGAACTTTACATAGTTTTATGGAATCAAAGGGGGCATGTGTCACACAGCCCAGTTCTCTGGAAAGCCAGTTATTAGACTGGGAAATGCATACCCATTAGACTTATTAAAATCCATCCATGATACAAGTCTGCTGGATACATGACCTGCATGGGAACAGGACATTGCAACATTCACAGATATGATTTTAATAGAAACCTATTAATGTCTGAGCTGAGAGCAGACAGAGTCCACCAGAAATCAGCAGCAACAAATTGTTGTTTTAGAGAATCTTGAACAGAAAATCACAGGCTTGGAGGCTTCATATAGACCTACATGCTGTGGAGAATAGTAATTCAAGAAGGACTGACTGATGAGCTTTGAATGCTATGGAGAGTCAAACAAGTATCTATTTCCTATGGCGTGTCAGTAACTGATATCAGCTTAGCTAGGATTTTTGCTGCTTTGTACAATAGTAAAATCAAAAAAAGCAACATTTCCTTCCCAATCATCTATGTACAGTTGCAGATTAGCCATGGGGACAGCCCCATTATACCAGCACAACTCTGTTGAAATTAACTGAGCTACACCAGTTTACACCAGCTAAGGATCTGGCCCTAAACCATTAACCCTGACAAGACTCAAAGTTGGGCCAGCCCTTCTGAGAAGAAGCTGTCATCTTGCGTTTGCAATTTGACACAGCACCAAAGGAACCCTAAAAGCGGAATTACCTTTTTTCCTATGGTGAAATAGCACCAGGATTGAGCTTGGTAGGTGGGGATGTTTTGGTAAGACAGGAATTTTCCATCAGTCCATTTGTAGATAGCTGACCCAGGCGGAGTGTACCGATTTGCTGTGGCCGCAAAAACCCCCACCTTTGGAATGACGAAGATCTCGATGCCCATGGTTTCAGAGTTGGTCATCAAGTTCTGATATTCTTCTACATAGTCCAGCCTCTCTTTGACTAGGAAATAACAAAAAAGGATGGAAATGAAAAATAGATGCCTCCTTAATTCAACTGTGTTCCAAAGTTCAATGGAGGGCTATATTTTTGGTTATTTTGTATGCATGGCACTGAGTAGCCAAATTAAAAGTCCTGTGCTAAAGGGCTTAACAATCAAAGGGCAAGTTAATTTACTGTTGGGCTCTACCTGCACAGTCCAGCCCTCAGCAAAGTGACCTGACAAGTGATGGCCACAGACAATGGACAGCATGGACCAGGAAGACAAGGGTTCCGTAAACACAGTGCTGTGAGTGGAAGGATGTTACATGTATTGCAGAGGCCACTCTGCTTAAGGATGCAAAACAGTTGCCTTTGTACCTCCCTGTGCATAAGACATACTGATCATTTTCCAACACATTCGCCTCCAGAGCTGCATTCTGTAGGTCCGGTCTCTGCCAGCCCATGAATGCTTCTAGAAAGTTGGAGCAAAATCCCTTCAGTCAGGCATTTTCCCACTATGAGAGGGTTAAAAAAAAATCACCTTTTTTTAGTTTAAAAAGGGGTGGGGAAGGTCCCTGAACTTTGAATCTAATTGAGGAGACCATTGGAAGGAGCCACCTGGAGGAAAGAAAAGCAGTTACAGCAGGTACAGCCTCTAGGGGAGAGCTGAGATCAGCTGGAGTTAAACCCTCTCCCCAGCACCCCAGACCCAGAACTGTGCAAAGGATTCCCCTTTCAGGGACACCAGATCTCCCACCTTCCTATCAGCTACAGGTGGAAGACACTACTGGGAGGAGACAGCCAGAAACTCAGCCAGCCAGAGCTGAGTCTGGCAAAAAAAAAAAATTGTGGTACTATCATGCCACAAACACGTCACTATCATATTGTTCACTCTGCTTGTATGTTATACTCCTTCCCCTTACCCTCCTCTCTCTTGTCTATCTAGATTGTAAGCTCCCCAAGGCAGTGTCCAGTTCTGGTGTCCCCCATTCAAGAAGGATGTTGATAAATTGGAGAGAGTTTCAGATAAGAGCCATGAGAATGATGAAAGAATTAGAATACATGCCCTAGAGCGATAGCCTCAAGGAGCTCAATCTATTTAGCTTCGCAAAGAGAAGGTTAAGGCGTAATGTGATTACAGTCTATAAGTATCTATATGGGGAACAAATATCTAATAATGGGCTCTTCAGTCTAGTGAAGAAAGGTCTAACACAATCAATGGCTGGAAGTTGAAGTGAGACAAATTCAGATTGGAAATAAGATGTAAATTTTTAAGAGTGAGAGTAATTAACCACTGGAACAATTTACCCAGGGTCATGGTGGATTCTCCATCACTGACCATTTTTAAATCAAGACTGGGTGTTTTTCTAAAGGATCTGCTCTAGGGATTATTTTGGAGGAGTTCCCTGGCCTGTGCTATACAGGAGATCAGATTATCACAATGGTTCTTTCTAGCCTTATAATCTGTAAATCTAATGCAGGGAGTGTCTCTTACACTATGTATAGTGCCTAGCAAAATGGGGTGTGATTTGGCTGAGGTCTTGGCTGCTACTGCAATACAGATAAATAATAATCAACCGAAAAGTACATCCACAAGGAGTAGGAAGTGCATGATTTAGGCACCTGCAAAAACTGGAAGATAAAATGGAGAAGTTATGAAGGTTTGAAAATATTCCACAGCCCATGCACAGTAGAAAAGAGCTTTTAGACTGCAGGGCAGTAACCCAGTAATCCTCCTTTGTCCTAGGCCTGTAGAGGTGTTATCTACCCACTTCACCTTGCGTGATCTCTTGCAACATTTATTAACTCCTTCTCTGTTCCACACTTGTATGTAGCTGTGACACTCTCAGTTCCTTTCCCAGACCTGAAGAAGAGCTCTGTATAACTTGAAGGCTTGTCTCTCTCACCAATAGAAGTTCGTCCAGTAAAAGATATTACCTCACCCATCATCTCTGTCATTAGCTTTTACACAGCCATTTCAAACATGGGTGTAGTAAGCATGCACATACAGCTATTTAACTACCCACTGAAACGCCTGCTGCACCAAGAGGATTCAAAACATGCAAGCTGTGACAAAGCTTTGTCCTTGCCTCCGTGGGTCCCGCGTTTCCTGGTGGATTTCGCTAGCCTCAGAGGCTCACTGTGACCCTCCATGTAACCCTTCTCTCTCTAGAGACAAGGGTCACTGTCTACTGAGCCATTTTCATCATAAGCTAGCGAGGGAGGTGAGGAGAAGTTATCCTTCCTTGCACAGTCTCCGTTGTCTCCCAGTCTCAGTGATTAATCAGGGGGGCAAAGGTGGGGGGGGACCCACCCTCTACTCCAGGCTCCAGCCCAGGGACCCTAATAGTATCAGCTATGGTAGCTGACCTTTTAGAAACATGACATGTACAATTCCCTGGGCTACTTCCCCCACAGCAGCCCTCAATTCCTCAAGCTCCACTTCACCCTTACCTCAGGGCCTCCTTCCTCGTGCCTGATATGGTGTGTACTGCTCAGCCTCTCCAACAGCGCAACTTCCTTCCACAGCTCCTGACATACCCACCCACCTGACTAACTGGGAGGCTTTTAACTAGTTTCAGCCAGCCCCTGATTGGCTTCAGGTGTCCCAATCAACCTAGCCTTCTCCCTGCCTTCTGAAAAGTTCTTAATTGGCCCTGGGTGTCTTAATTGACCTGGAGCAGCTGCCGTTTCACTTATCCTGGTACCAGGGATTTGTTTAGCCTGGAGCTAATCTATCTATCTCCCACTAATTTTCCATAGCCACCTGGCCTTGCCCTGTCACAAAGCATAGGCACTGACGAGAGCAATGTTTTTCAAACGCAGCCACTGGGGCCGCATGCAGCCACCAGGGGTTTTTCATGCAGCCACGACAGTCTCCAGGGGTGCGGGGGCAAAGCATCGGCCCCTCCCTCCTTGTTGCTTCTGGATGCACCGCCCTGCACCGCCTCTGGAGAGAAGTGGGGCACAACGCTGCAGGAGCAAGGTGAGTTCTTGACTCTCCTTGGGGGAGGGGGTCTGGGCAGCAGGCTCCAGCAGCGGAACTTCAGGAACCTGGCTGTGCAGCCACAGGCTCCAACTGACCAGGCTCCAAATGACCATCCCCCCCTCCCCCAGCTCTAGCCACATGGCCGTGGCCTCCAGCTGCAGGGTTTCAGCCTCCGGCCCCGGGTTCCAGCTGTATGGCAACAGGCACTGGCTCTCGGCTCCAGTCCTGAGCTCCAACCGCACATTGGCAGGTGCTGGCCACAGGCACCAACCCCCAGCCCCAGCCCCAGGGGAGTGGGCTCCAACCATAGGGCTTTGGGCGCCAACCCCCAGCTCTGGCAGCAGAGCTTCAGACTGCCTCTGGCCCCCAGTTCCAGCCGTGCGGTGGTGGGCACTGGCCCCAGGCTCCAGCCACGTGGCCCTAGCCCCTGGTGCTGATCCTCTGCCCCAGTTGCATGGCAGCAGGCACCAAATCACGGCTCTGTTCCTGGGCTCCTGCCACTTAGTGGTGGGAGCTGGCCCCAGGTGCCAACCCCTGGCCCTGGCCACACAGCAGCAAGTGCTGGCTCCAGCCACTCAATGGCGGGTGCTGACTCCTGGCTGCAGCCACAAACCCCTGGGCTCCAGCACCCACCTCCGAGCTCTGGCCATGCAGCGGCAGGCAATAGCCCTGGGCGCTGACCCACAGCTCCAGCTGCATGGCAGTGGGCTCCAATCCCTGGCTCCAGCCATGCAGTTCCTGTCCCCAGCTCCGGGTTCGGGCACTGAGCCTTGGACGCATGGCAGCAGACACCAGGCCCTGCCTCTGGCCATGCAACAGTGGGGCTCATCACCGACCCCCATCGCCCCGGCGCCTGCTGCCTCCCACAGCCCTGTATCCATTCCCACCCATTGCCCCTGGACCCTGCTGCCTTTCTGGCCTCACATCCACCCCTACCCCCATTACCATGGGCCCCCACTGCCTCCCACAGCCCCACATCCATCCTCCCCACACCCAGGACCCTTCAGCCTCCCCCAGCCCTGCATCCATCCCCCCATCGCCTCTGGCCCCTGTTGCCTCCCCACTTTGCCCTCCCCCTCCCCATCCAGGGCTTAATGGGTCCTGGGGCTTGCTGAGAAAAGTGATATTAACAAACGTGCAAGTATCACTTTTCACAGCAGACTTACTAGCTATCTATGAAAAGTGATACCTGTATGTTTGTTAATATCACTTATCACTTTTCATAGCCTCCCAGGTAGCTACTAAGTGTGCTGTGATATTAACAAATATACAAATATCTCTGTTCACAGCAAGCCCCAAGACCCATAAAGCCCTGCATGGGGCGAGGGAGGGGAGGGGAGGGGAAGTGAAGGGGGAGGCAGCATGATTTTTGTTATTGAGTCTGCCAAGAAACCCTACAAATACTCGTTACAATTATTTGGAAGTTGAATCTGTGCCTATGTAATTGTTTTTCCGAAAGTTAATTAAGTATTTTAGGGGGAAAGTGTCAGTGCGGCCACCAGTGAGAGTTGGTGGCTGCACTCTGAGGCCACCCAAACATTTGTTGTGAGAATCCCTGGACTATAGGCTGGAGCACACAAGGGGAAAAAATAGTGGGTGCTCAGCACCCACCAGCCACAGTTGCTCGGCAGCTGGGGGAGGCACTTGCAGGAGGGCGGAGAGCAGCAAGCGGCAGGCGGGCGGGGCCTTGGGGGAGGGGTTGGAGTGGGCCAGGAAGAGACAGAGAGGGCAGAGCCTTGGGGAGGAGGGGGAGCAGGGGTGGGAAGAGGCAGAGCCGGGGGGGGCTTGGAGCAGGGCAGGGGGGAGCAGCCCCGGGGGAAAAAGAAAACTTAGCACCTATGCATGCGAGGAATGTTAAAAGCTGCTTTCTCTCCAACCACAAGACTTCATTGAAATCACACGGCTTAAAAGGAGTGCACAGAGAGGTTTTGAGTCTGCAGCTGAAGTTCCAGTCCCACCCCTATCACTGACCCTCTTTAATAATACTTTGTACAAAGCATTTTGCAAGCATTATTTTTCAGTTGCTCCTTAAAGCTCTTAACTGTGCAGACCCCAGATATATGTAAAACCTCTTTCATAATAGAGCCATTTAATACTTAATGCATAGCATTGTTCAGTCCTAGATCTCAACATGCATTATAAAGGCAGGTGAGTCTCGTTACAATGATTGAATTTGCCTTCACTCAGTAAGTTCTTCACACGCAACCCGCCCACTCACACACAAACAGCGAGTTAAGCTAGTTCTCCTGCAGGAGTGGAGGGCAGGCAGTAGATAAATGTTGTTGCCATTTCTAAATATTGAGAGGTGCTTATGCTACAGTGATGGGGTGAAATCCATGTCCAGTTTACAGATGGGTACACAGAATTGAAATGATTTCCCCAAGGCCATTTCATAACAGAGCTGGGAATAGAAACCAGGCACTCTGAACACCTAGTCTAGTACCCTATGCAGTGCAGTTCTAGAGATGAATTTTCCTAGTACTAAGCAATCAAGCAGTTTTCAACCAGATGCTAAATAGGTGAGAAAGCCTGACCTTTGGTCTTCTAATATGTACATCCATACTGTGACATTGCACTCTATATGTTTTATGGAAATATGCTTATGAGTGTGAATATGATGTAATTGGAATATGCTTTATGCAAAAGGTCTCTTGTAAGGTATCATAAAAAAGGTTATAACCAACTGAAAATATTCCTCCTATTTGTATGCATGTATCATTCTTGTATCTGAAGCTAGAAATATGAAGTATAACTCTGAGGTCCTATTGTAAATATGTAAAGTGTGGGCCAGTAATGGTGGTTTAGAATCCCATAGACTAGGACAATTGGTTGTAAATGGTTTATTTACCTGAAAGCCTTCTTGTGCATGTGTGGGCCAACCCAGGAAAAATGGAGACTTGGGATCTTACAGTGACATGTGACCATGTCATATGATACTGGAATCCATCTTAATCCTTGTACTTTTCCATTGATGAGGTGAGGGTGGGGACAAGCACAGACAAAAGATTCCCGAGTGCCAAAGCTATAAAAGGGGGTGGAGCAGGACAAAAGGGGCCAGTCATGAGAAAATCCCTGCTTACCACCTGAGATGTCTGCTGGAACTAACAAGGACTGTACCAGGGGAAAGGATTGGGCCCAGACTAGGAAGGAGTCTAGTCTGTGAAAGAAGCTTGTTGGACTATCTCTGAGGGTGAGATATTACCTGTAATCAGTTTCTTAATGTATTAGGCTTAGATTTGCATGGTTTTGCTTTATTTTGCTTAGTGACTTACTTTGTTCTGTCTGTTATTACTTGAAACCATTTAAATCCTACTTTTTATACTTAATAAAATCACTTGAGTTTATTAATAAACCCAGAGTAAGTGATTAATACCTGGTGGAGCAAACAGCTGTGCATATCTCTCTATCAGTGTTATAGAGGGTGGACAATTTATGAATTTACCCTGTATAAGCTTTATACAGAGTAAAACGGATTTATCTGGAGTTCAGGCTCCCAGAAAGGCTGAACACTGGGCACTGGGAAAGTCCCTGTTAACTGAGAAGCTCCTTGGCTGAGTGAATCTGTTTCAGTGAACTGCAGAGAGATGTTGTCCAACCTTTGGGTCTGTGCTGGAGTGTCTAACTCAGCAAGACAGGAGTGGAGGGGCACCTGTTCTGGCAGGAGGGTTGTTCTCAGTGGTATCCCAGCTCACTGAGTGACACTCTTGAGGGGAGTCTCTGTGAAAGAACCCATCACACAAAGAATGAAAAATGAGGGCAGGAGAGCAGTGAAAAAAATCTTTCTGTACCTCTGCTGAGCTCTCACACACTCACTAGCAAAGAACAACCTTGCACAAGAGACAAAGAGAGAAAACACTTCAACTTGCCATACTTACACCTTTTGTTAATCATCATCATCATTATTATTATTCATATAGCACCAAATATATGCTAGGTGCTGTCATGTTTCAGGGCAACTGCACCTGTGTTTTCCCTCAGTGGTACAGCAAGGGCCCCTAGCTCCCCTGCCATCGCCTCTCTTGGGTGGAGACCTGCGTTTCTTTTCTTCCTGAACAGGGTGTCTACAGGCTGAACAATTCCCAGCCATCACTGTGTTATTCCCAGGAAAAGACAATCTGTCTAAGCACACTTGCTTGCTTTCTCTCCAGGGACTAATAGTGTTTGCTGGCCACAATTAAGCTACCACACAGCTCTTCCTAAGCAAGCACGTTTATTCTTTGGGTAAAAGCACTCCAGAGAAAACATATTAAAAACGAGAAGAGAACCTATGTGCACACAGACAAGTTTACCAGAGGTCACCCCAACTCTACCATGGGCTATGGCAGGAGAAGTTCTTCCATACCCCACAAAGCGGTCTCTGCTATGGTCAGAAGCCTCAGCTCAGAACCAGCACCCAGTCCTATGGGGCCTCAGATGGTCAAATCCTTCCAACCCTAAAGATTGGGGCCCTCTGTCGCCCAGAGGTCCTGCCCATTTGTTGGATCAGGGAGAAGGTCCTGAGTCATCTTTCTGTGAAGTCCTTTCTGTGTCTGTAGATCCCTGGAGAATCCAGATTGTGTCTCTGAACTGCCCGCATGTAACAGGTCATCAATAGACAACAGGTGCCCCCACAAGGCGAAGTTTCAAAGACTGAGTGTGTAGGTGGGGAGTTGCAATGCCCTCACCTCATGTATTTCCTAGGAGCTCCACTTCACACTTCTTGTCCCCAAAAAGTCCTCGGAAGTTCCTAATCCGTCCCAGAGATTGTACTAGTCAGTCTCCTGTAGATGCTCCACAATAACACATCCACACTTGCATTTTTAATACAATAGACCCCAAGATATTAAACTTAATTCAATAACATTTATCTTAATTCCATAAGATGTGTCCAGGGGAGTGTCAGACCAATCACATGTGCTCCCAGATGAGAAGACTGAGTCTGAGCTCCACAGAGCTCACAATCTAAATCTCTACCACTAGGAGCAACAAAGTGAGCCATAGTAGCAGAGCTGTCTACCAGTCACAGATCTCTTACCTTCTAGCATGGCGATCCATGCACTCCCATCACATAGATAGAGCCCTTTCTGAGAAGCGTTAAACCAGAACTGGGCCTTTTCATTCTTCGTGCAGGGAGGTCGGGATCCTAGAGTCACTTTCATGTCAGCCTCTGAACACAAAACAAAAGCAAACAGGTCCCTTTAATGCCCTCAATACAATGAAAGATTAAATTGGACTATTAAAAATGGAGACCACTGCCCTGCCAGAGCATATAGCATAGGGTGGCCTGGATTGGGTAGAGACTCCTACAGATCACAGTGGGTTACATGGCTTAGGACCCACACCCAGCAAAGCACCTAAGCACACACTTAGCTTTAAGTACATCAGCGTACCCCGCTCATGTCAATTAGAGTACCGCTGCGCTTAACATCAAGCATGTGCTTTAGTGTTGTGCTGAATGGGGCCTTCACTCACGAGAAAGAGACTGTATGTCCACTTTGCAGGAGCAATTAGCAAGGGCACTGTTCCAAGACAAAGCCAGACTCAGCAGATATGCTGCAGAGCTCTGAGGGCTTAATCTAGTCCATATCTGTTAAGGCCCAAGGTCCAGAAATCTGGAGATATCATACAAAATGTACAAGAGCTTAATTTGTATATTGATCACTATGCAGTGCCTCGATTCCATATGTTTTAAAAGTGGAAAAAACTTTTCTTTTTTTAATTTTCTCCCCCTACTCCGAGCTCTCCCCCTGGTATCTCAATTCAGCTGCTAGTTCAGTTTCTCTGAACCACCTACTGCAGAACTCTACAGAGTCCAGCATCACCTGATTTGGGCTGATTTGGGCTGGTGGGGCGGAACTGCTCTCTCTCTCTCTCCTGGCTTACATCACCCCCTGCCACAACCACCTTACCAGCCACAGAGTGCGCTCTCGGATCCCCCTGCTCTCAGTGCCTGGCTCTCCTTTGCTCTGCAGCGACTCCCGAAACTTGGGCCTGATTCTCCTCGCTCTTACACCAGTGCAAATCAGGGGTAACTTCACTGACATCTGAGGAATCACACTGGTGTGAGCCAGTGGAAACTCAGGCATGGAGATGCATTAATGGATTCCTCCCAGAATTCCAGAGTGAGCTCCCTGCTCTATTCCCTTCGGGGACACAAAGACCTGGACCACACCATCCTTCCAGGAGCTACAAGCCCTGGAAGATGCTGCACTATGCTTAGAATGATAGTAAATAGCCTGGAGGGGAAACAGAACCACAGCAGTGCTTAGAATAACAGCATAGGGAATAACACTGGGATGTTTTCTGAGCAAGAGAGACCAGCCCAGACCTGTTTCCACAGAGCTCCACACAGCAGTGCTCTAATGAGAATATTACTGTGCACTACAGGCATTACATCCCCAGGACAGCTCTCACAGGCTGATCTGCAATTCTGCTGGCAGGGCCTTGTTCCCTAGCAATTCTCAGAAGTGGCGTTTGCAAACTGACACGTACCGCAAAGATCAGACTCAGAAACGCAGCTTCTCTTGCTATTTCCAAGGGATAAAACCAGCTTCCTTATTGACAGGGCTCTGCAGAATTTGCCACCCAATCCACCCCTTGCCAGAACTGGATGCTAGCCTAAGCTTTCATGTTAAAAAAAAAAAATTAAGCTTGTAGCTTTTATGGGACTGACAAACACCTTCCAAACAGGAACAGAATGCACAACACAATAGTGCTACCTGCCTGAGTCTGCAGACAGCTAGACACAATGAATATGAATGGCCTGAATTGTCCCCATGCGATTTAATAAGGTCTTCACGCTGAAGTCTAATGAAGACTGAATGGCGGATTTATTTCAGGAGTGGGTCTCTGGACTGCTGTATGGGCCAACTCTCCTCCCTGCATCATCCCGTTGGGCCCTCTCTCCATATGCCCCATCCTAAGACTATTCATTAGCGTCAACTCTTACCCAGACCAATAGATTAGACCAAATCAGTCATTTCTGGGCCAAGCCATTCTGGAGTTATGACAAGCCAAAACAAACCTTCAGAAGGGGAGAAAACCTTCCTTTTTTAACCCTCGTCTCTCTCAAAACCCTTGTCTCTCTCTCTCGCGACACGCCATTCGCTTTTCAGAAAGATACCCACCCTAAAATCATCCATGAAGCTTATAGCAGAACAAGAAGCTGGGTCTGCTGCTGCCCAGGCCCCTCACTGTAGTCACTTTACTATCCTTATTCTAAATATACTTCTATTTTAAGATTCTTCCTATACTATACTTACAGGAAATTGCTTAGGGAAATACATTATCTTGCATATTGCTGTTAACTAAGTGTCGTTCTGGGAAAGGAGATGAGCTACTGCTATTCCTTCCAAGCTTGGCCCAGGCACCTGATGGGAAATACCCACAAGATTGCTCTGTTCCATGACTGATTCTGCAAGTTTCCAAGAAAAGGAATAGGATAAAATCAATGGAAGACAAAAATTCCTTCCCCTGAGATGCTAAACGCCTTGCAACTCTTGCCTGCTTGCTATGCAGTCCACTCACCGTGGTTGGCTTTCCCATCAGACTAGTATCAGGCTCCGTGCAGTTAGAAAGCAGCACTAAGGTTCTGCTCTAACGTTCTGCTAATGCGCGATGGTGAGGCACCTCATGAACTAACTATCTGCTGCATGTTACTGACCGTCAGGGTATTTCAGCACCTCATTGCTCGCTGGCTTCACTGGGAGATCCTGCAGTACTGGGGGGATGGAGAGCACTGCTAGCTTAAAGTTCATGTTAGTGCACATCCTTGAGGTAGCATCAGATCCTGGCAACAGGACTAGCTGTCTTAACAAGCCCTGAAAAGAGAGGAAGAAAAACTAGGGAGATCAAGTTTCAGAGTAACAGCCGTGTTAGTCTGTATTCACAAAAAGAAAAGGAGTACTTGTGGCACCTTAGAGACTAACCAATTTATTTGAGCATAAGCTTTCGTGAGCTACAGCTCACTTCATTGGATGCATACTGTGGAAAATACAGAAGATGTTTTTATATACACAAACCATGAAAAAATGGGTGTTTATCACTACAAAAGGTTTTTTCTCCCCCCACCCTACTCTCCTTCTGGTAATAGCTTATCTAAAGTGATCACTCTCCTTACAATGTGTATGATAATCAAGGTGGGCCATTTCCAGCACAAATCCAGGTTTTCTCCCCCCCAACCCACCCCCCCAAAAAACCCCACTCTCCTGTTGGTAATAGCTTATCTAAAGTGATCATTCTCCTTACAATGTGTATGATAATCAAGGTTGGCCATTTCCAGCACAAATCAAGGTTTTCTCCCCACCCCCGCAACAAACCCACTCTCTTGTTGGTAATAGCTTATCTAAAGAGATCACTCTCCTTACAATGTGTATGATAATCAAGGTGGACCATTTCCAGCACAAATCCAGGTTTTAACAAGAACGTCTGAGGGACAGTGGGGGAGGGGGGGAAACAAACATGGGGAAATAGGTTACTTTTTATAATGACTCAACCATTCCCAGTCTCGATTCAAGCCAAAGTTAATTGTATCCAATTCGCAAATTAATTCCAATTCAGCAGTCTCTCGGAGTCTGTTTTTGAAGTTTTTTTGTTGAAGGATAGTCACTTTGAGATCAGAAATCGAGTGACCAGAGAGATTGAAGTGTTCTCCGACTGGTTTTTGAATGTTATAATTCTTGACTTCTAATTTGTGTCCATTCATTTTTTTACGTAGAGACTGTCCAGTTTGACCAATGTACATGGCAGAGGGGCATTGCTGGCACACATTGCTGGCACATGATGGCATATATCACATTGGTGGATGTGCAGGTGAACGAGCCTTTGATAGTGTGGCTGATGTTATTAGGCCCTGTGATGGTGTCCCCTGAATAGATATGTGGGTACAGTTGGCAACAGGCTTTGTTGCAAGGATAGGTTCCTGGGTTAGTGGTTCTGTTGTGTGGTATGTGGTTGCTGGTGAGTATTCGCTTCAGGTTGGGGGGGCTGTCTGTAGGCAAGGACTGGCCTGTCTCCCAAGATTTGTGAGAGTGTTGGGTCATCCTTCAGGATAGGTTGTAGATCCTTGATAATGCGTTGGAGGGGTTTTAGTTGGGGGCTGAAGGTGACGGCTAGTGGCGTTCTGTTATTTTCTTTGTTAGGCCTGTCCTATAGTAGGTGACTTCTGGGAACTCTTCTGGCTCTGTCAATCTGTTTCTTCACTTCCGCAGGTGGGTATTGTAGTTGTAAAAATGCTTGATAGAGATCTTGTAGGTGTTTGTCTCTGTCTGAGGGGTTGGAGTAAATGCGGTTGTATCGCAGAGCTTGGCTGTAGACAATGGATCATGTGGTATGGTCAGGGTGAAATCTGGAGGCATGTAGGTAGGAATAATCCATCAAGACTGCAGGGCATGGGCAATGATAAGTGGTGGTCTGTGGTTTGAATTTCCCTTAAACTCCTACAGTCTGAGTGGGTGTGATTCATGAACGAGGGTCAGAGTTTAATGACACCATCTTAGCTTTCCAAGATGTCCATCCACAGCAGTTCTAGAGCCATCATCATATTAATGTCAATGATGAGACAATTAGCTTTAAAAAGACCTCGCTGCCAAATTAGAGACCAAGAATGACCACAGGCAACTGTCCCCTTGCCTTTACAAAATCACTGACACTTCAAAAACCACATCAGTCCCATAGATAAGGGACAGTCAATATTTTTTCACACCTCTAAGATATTTGCTTAAAAACTTTTGACATTTTAACAAACTGCCTGAGTCACTTTCTATGTGTCATGCAAGTCTGGGAAAATGCCAAGAAATGTTGGGTCAGATTCCAGTGCGTGTGGCTAGCCTTCCTCTTGCAGGTGCTTCAGCAATTTCACACACGGCACTTCAGTCCCTATCAACCCGCAGCATAGCCTGCTATGAGTGGAACATATGGCAGGCGTAGCTGACAAACTGACATTGGATTTCTGCGTATTGTGCTTTTACATTTCCCATGCTCAGAGCTGGATCCACATCCCATTGAAATCAATGGGAGTTGCTTTGGGTTAGGGAAGTAGGGGCAGATTTTTCAAAGGTGTTTAGGGATCTAAAGATGAACACAGCCATCTCGTGGTATTTTCAAAACACACCTATACATCTAGTGGTATTTTCAAACTCTCCTAAGATACCTAATTTATGGGTTTCAATGGGAATTGGATGCCTAACTTGCTTAGGCACGCTGGAAAATCTCACTAGGCCTCTGTCTGCATCTTTAGGCACCTAAATAATCTGGCTCTCAGTGCATAGATACGGCAGTGCTCAGCTTTGCGTAAAACACCTAAACTACACAGGTAGATTCATGTAGAGTTCATTGGCCATTTTGTTCTCAGAGCTGTCTCTAGTCTGGAACAGAGGAAACGCACACACTGTGCTCGCTTTTGGAGACTTTACTTTTGTTCTTACCTGCTGATTTCCTTGATCTAACCCATCCTCTCTTCCCCTTCCTACCAACTCCCAAATCTTCCCTCCCTCAAACCCCCGAATCCTCCCTGTCCCCTCTCACCAAGCCCCCAAATCTTCCCTTCCCGCAACACCCTCATCCTCCCCTCCCCCCACCAACACCCTCATTTGCTGGAGGGGCCTATTTCCTGGAGCTCTGACAGCCCATCCAGAGGAAAGAACTTGGCATGTCCTGCAGGTGATTCAGCAATGGCACCCAACATGGTGACTCCCACTGGCTGGATTGTGTGTCCTAGAGCAGCAAGAAACTACTCCATTAGCAATCCTTTTCCTCCATGGCGTGCTCCACATCTGAGCCCCCTCCACAACCTCCTTTGCAAGAGTCGCTCACTAAGTTATCCACCTGTGCAGCCAGTAGTGGCAACTCAGTGGGCTCTGGCTGATGGTTCTGACCCTGTGATCACAGGGGTGGCTGTAGGCCATTCTCTCGCTTTCAAGTTATCCATTATGTCGCAAGCACGCTTTATTTCATATTTGTAGCCTGTGGATGTGGGCTTGGGGGAGGGAAGGTCTCCAGGGATAGATCACTGGGGCGGACAGTGTTGTATTTGCTGTTTCAGTGAAGGATGAGGCTGGTTTCAGGACAACCCATTTATCTAACTAGCAACAAGAGATGAGAGACAGGGGAAACAAATTACTGCCTAATGTTTTAACAACTCACCTGGCTGCATAGCTGCCTCTGGAAAAGAGCTGTGAGATATTTCATCTCCTAACTGTCAGGGTGGTTAAGCACCGGAACAAATTGCCCAGGGACATTGTGGAATCTCCATCATTGGAGATTTTTAAGAGCAGGTTAGACAAACACCTGTCAGGGATGGTCTAGAGAACACTTAGTTCTGCCATGAGTGCAGGGGACTGGAGTAGATGACATCTTGAAGTCTCTTCCAGTTCTAAGATTCTATGATATGATCATTCATTTTCCAACAATATTCGCTCCCACATTTAAATGAACTCTCTTTGGCCACGTTTGCTGCCCTATGTGCTTGCTTTCCGCAAACACCCAACCAATTGAGATTTACTCACATCAATGTTCAGAGAAACGCAATTTCAAAGTCATGTGTTTGAGTGTTTGTGGGAAACTAACTTTAAATCCCCACCCACAAGTATTTGGAGGTCCTTGCAATCTCATCCAGCCACAATACTATGTGACTTTCTGGCCACCACAGCTCAGATTTTAATTCTGAAATTCTCAGAGAGAGACCCGCCCTCAGTCAATTCAGAAAGTAAAAAACTAATTCAATGCAACATTTGCTGAATAAATGTGGATAACTAATACATTCAAGGAAAATCACCAGGGGTCACAGATATTCACCAAGCAGCAGAGAGGCTAAATCTGGATGCATTTGTTGTGAATTATTTGCTCTGCTGTCCCAAGGAACTCACTGTCAAGTTCCTGAGAGAGGGTGAAGCTGAGAGGCAGAAGTGTTGCAGTTTTTAACATGGTGAAATAAACCCCCTCCCTAGTAGTCTAGGCCATGCGTGTAGTGCCCAGCTGCTAGACAGAATCCATCCCGCCACACTTAGCTCTTACACCCGTATGTACAAAGAGCTCTCCAAACGTCACACGCTCCTAGGCTTTCACAGCTGAATGAAAATTAGGTTTTCCCCCAGCAGCGATTAGATCGGGGTAGGCAAACTTTTTGGCCTGAGGGCCACATTGGGGTGTGAAACTGTATGGAGGGCCGGGTAGGGAAGGCTGTGCCCCCCAAACAGCCTGGACCCCACCCCCTATTCGCCCCCTCCACTTCCTGCCCCCTGACTGTCCCCCTCAGAACCCCCAACCCATCCAACCCCCCTGCTCCTTGTCCCCTGACCGCCCCCTCCCGGGACCCCCCGCCCCTAACTGCCCCCCTGGGACCCCACCCCCTTTCCAACCCCCCCTGTTCCCTGACTGTCCTGAACCCTATCCACACACCCACCCCCTGACAGACCTCCCAGGATTCCCATGCCCTATCCAACCCCCCCTGTTCCCTGACCGCCCCAGAACCTCCGCCCCATCCAACCGCCCCCTGCTCCCTGTCCCCTGACTGCCCCCTGGGACCTCCCCCACCTCAACTGTCCCCTGTTTCCTGTCCCATGACTGCCCCCCAGGACCCCCTACCCAACCCCACCACCACCGCCACCCCCTTACCATGCTGCTCAGAGCGGAAGAAGCTTGCAGCCCCGCTGCCCGCGTGGCGGCATAACTACAGGGGAGGGGGACCGGGGGGAGGGGCCGAGGACTGGCCTCCCAGGCCAGGAGCTCAGGGGCCAGGCAGGACAGTCCCGCGGGCTGGATGTGGCCTGTGGGCCATAGTTTGCCCATCTCTGGATTAGATGCTGATATAGCAAGCCCAGGC